GAGAGAGAGAGAGAGAGAGAGAGAGAGAGAAATCCGTGCGGAATTTCGTTTGCCTTTTAACATTATCGACTCAAAGCCTCCTCTCGGAGATACGTTACGAACGCAACCGCCCCGCACACAAAATGGCGGCCGAGCGCGAGCGGTTGCCATATTGAATCCGTCTGCGGAAATGAAAATTTGCTATTGTTTCCAACGCTGCTGGTCGCTGGACGCGTGCCCGGCGACGGACGCACGCAGCACAGAGAGGAGCTGGTAAAGAGAAAGGAGGGGCTTGGTGAAGACTAACCTAGAAGTAGCAGTTTAATATCCTTCGCGGCCGCTATACCGTCCTCCTTCAGGTTTTTCTCGATGGCTTTACTCCGCTCGAGCGCCGACCGTTCCTCTTGGCTCATTGCGCAACCCATGGCGACGGTGTCAAACGGTGATCACAGCAACACAGCGAGAATAGAGTCACGAGAACGAGTAGCGGGGGAACCACCGACACGGAGGGTGCGGTCACGATCGCATGAGAATGTCTATGGAGCGCAGTTCTCTCCTCACTCGGCTGCCATTGTGCTTCGCGGAGAGAGAGAGCCGACGCCTTGATCGTCACCAGTGCGTGCGCGTGTGTGAGTGAGTGGCGTGTGCGTGTGTAGCCAGCCAGCCCTCACCGATATCAGTCAGCAGTAGACAGCGACAATAGTAGCGAGGCTTTAGCCGAGTCGCTGTCGTCTGCGCCGATGCTCCGTCGGCGAAAAAATCAATTAATCAGGCGACCAATTACGGAGCAGCTCGCGCGCCGTGACGCGTGCCTCGCCCATGTTGCCTAGTGACGTAATCGATCTACAGCATCAGTACCACATAGTAGCCTTTGTCTACTGCGTGGCACCATCTATCGGCTCGTTAGATCATACCGGATAGCAAATTTGTTTTAAAATCTCAGTCTAGCTCACTGCATCCCAGCAAATACTTTTCGTCCTATATCCCCCATGCTTCCCTATCGCCCCACATATGCCTTCTACTTACTCACGCAATTTCTCTAGTTCTGACAGAAGCATCGTCAACACATTGTCCCTTCACTACTACTCAACTCATCTGCCTCCTCCTCCTCCTCCTCCTCCTCCTCCTCCCCCTCCTCCTCTTTATTCTCCTCTCCCCTCTTCCCCTCCGCCTCCTCCTCCTCTTCAGCCCTTTCCTCCTCCTCCCCTTCTCCTCCTCCCCCCTCCTCCTCCTCCTCCTCTTCTTCCTCCTGTCTTCATCTTCTTCCTCCTCGTCCTCCTCCTCTTCCACTTTATCCTCTTTCCCCTCCTCCTCCCCCTCCTCCTCCTCCTCCTCTTCCTGCTCCTTCACCACCTCCTTCTCCTACTCCTCCTCTTCATCCTCATCCCCTTCTTCCCCTCCGCCTCCTCCACTTCAACCTTTTTCTCCTCCTCCACTCCTCCTCCTCCAGGGGGGGGGGGAGCGGCACGTACATGACCTGCGCTTCCTATAGTCTATACTCCCTATATACTAGCGATACAATATTGATGCATTTACACGAGGCTGTAGCCGCGGGTGCTTGCCTCGGCTTGAAAGAACCACAGCTGAGCCAGGCGTATATGTTTCTTCCTATTAAATATGTATGTATGTGCGTCTGTTGTATGCGTCGTTGGTGCGTGCGTGCGTGTGTGTGCGTGCGTGCGTGCGTGCGCACGCGTCTAGATCGTCGATACACATATACCGGTGTGATAAGTGCGTTGGTGCATGCGTGCCTGTGTGAGTGCGCGCGTGCGTGCGTGCGTGTGCGCGCATGCGGGCGTGCG